ATAATTCACTGACATAATTAGCATACATAAAAAATAGAAATTAAGCAATGGTACACCGAAGATATATCAACCAAACACAGAATATAACAAGTCAACAGAGTAAAAATATGTCACACAGTTACAGCGCTTCAGGTAGCGGCACAGAAAAGCAAGTCACTGTTTGATTCTACAAAATGTTCAGCTTATAATCAAAATGGGTCATTACAGTTTCCAGGTAGGGTGTGTGATGTTCCATCCAGCGGGTTCTTTGATAAAGGCCGAATTTGCACGTGCAGTCAGGTCGGGTGATCACTGGACTCTGGGAGTGAGGGATGATTGGTAATATCAAATATTTGTGTATCAGAAAAGTCTGAGGCAAGAGGCAGGGGCGCGAGACAGGGGGTTTGGCGTCATATCATCGTACAAAAAGAAAAAAAAAACAAAAAAAACAAGATCACCGTTAATGTTTCGCAGAGCTCGGACGTCTGCCTCTCGGCTCTCCATGCTGGCGTCGTGGGGCTGAGCGGCGGCAACGTGCAGTTCCGCAATGTAGGCGAGTCACCCATCAACGGATCCATGATCAACCGCGTCGTCTCACGGTCCGGGTGAGTTGTCGTGTGTTTCAGCAGCTGTCCTTGCCTCGTCAGAACTTTAGGTGTTTCTGGATCACGTTAAAGAGACACGCTCATATTCAGAGACTTTGGATACTTTAGTGAAGGTCCGCCACTTACTTACTTTGAGATTTGCCGAGTTCTAGCTTCGCCTGATCAACCATGGTTGGTTGTGACGCAAAGCAATTCGACGGTGATTAGCTGCGGCGCGAGACAGCTCGTCGGTGATTGGCTGTCGGGCAGGTGTCCACAGTATCTCTGAATATGAGCATATATATCACATTTGACTTGAGCAAGTTAAAGAAACTAAATACCAGTTAATACTTATCTGATTTGGAGTTTGTAAAAGAGACTAAATACCACATACGCATTTGCTTAGCGGCTTGTTATAGTGGCTAAATACCAGGTAATACTCACCTGGATGCTGGAACAGACCATAAGCTTTGTTATTTATTTGGTAACCAAGTTAATTAAGGAAACATGAACGCGAGAGCTGTACTTGTTTGGAACGTCGATTCTCACGGTGGATGCGAACACGGAGTATTTTTTATATAAAATACAAAAATGCTTTCTCTCTAGGGAACCGGCTGTTGCCTACGCGTTCATAAAGGAGAATCTACCATTGGACTTCAGCGAAGCCGGTGAGATGGAATTTTGTTTTGTTTTCTCTTCAAACTCTGTATGATGTTCCCATGTACTTTTCAAGAATTACTTTTTATCGAATGATAAAATTCTATATTGTTTCTCATTGTATATATATATACATAAATATATACATAAACATATATATATATATATATATATATATATATATATATATATATATATATATATACATATATATATATATATATATATATATATATATATATATATATATATACATATATATATATATATATATATATATATATATATACATATATATATATATATATATATATATATATATATATATACATATATATATATATATATATATATATATATATATATATATATACATATATATATATATATATATATATATATATATATATATACATTATATATATATATATATATATATATATATATATATATATATATATATATATATATATATACATATATGGATGCCTATCAATCAGCCATATAACTGGTACTAACCACGTGCCCAGGGAAACATTTCGTACACAAGGGTTAAAGATTTTTCAAAAACAAAGGAACACAACTTTGTGACCTCAGCGAAGGTAGTTACAATGGAACTTGGGTGTGATGTTCTGATCTAGGGTCATGCATGTGTCTAGTTACATCTATATCTATCCATATATGTATTTATGAACTGTATATATATAGATATATGTGTGCCGCATATACGTGCATGAATGTCACATACACGGTATATATATGGGTATTCTGGGTACCTAGATACCACAGCTACAGAAAGTATCTGTTGGCACCGCAAGCACTCCTGGGGCCAGCCTCCTGGCAGTCGTGGTAATGGCGCTCTTCACAAACCGACGTTAGAGCCAACCTCCAAACTTCCTCGTGAGTGCTGGAAAGAAAGATCATTCAAATACTATTAGCAATGTTTTTGTCTTACAGACTTAACAGAGAAGGTCCTTGTTCACAACTCGTACTTTAAAGACAACCTTCACTTGAGTTGTGTAGCCGAGAGGTCAAACGTCGTTCTCGATGAAGGAAACATTGCCAGACTGGAGTATGGAAACTATAAGGGCGAAGCAAATGTGTTCCGTAAGTACCATCCTCAGGTGTTGTTCTCTCTGAGTGCTCTCCCTCTCTCTCACTGCCCCCCACTTTTATTTCCTCTTTCACCCTCCGCCTTCTTCCATATCTCGCTCCTTACGTTTTATATAATCATAACTATAATGGACATTTTTGTCAAAGGAAGATGCAGGGGAGACTAAGCTTTAATCTTCAGAAGCAAGGGGAAGAAACAGTGCTCCCTAGTGCAGGGGAGGTGGGATCTGTGTGTGCGTATGTATATATATATATATATATATATATATATATATATATATATATATATATATATATATATATGCATATATATATATATATATATATATATATATATATATATATATATATATATGCATATATATATATATATATATATATATATGCATATATATATATATATATATATATATATATATATATATATATATATATGCATATATATATATATATATATATATATATATGCATATATATATATATATATATATATATATGCATATATATATATATATATATATATATATATATATATATATATATATATATATATGCATATATATATATATATATATATATATATATATATATATATGCATATATATATATATATATATATATATATATATATATATGCATATATATATATATATATATATATATATATATATATGCATATATATATATATATATATATATATATATATATATATATATATATATATATATATATATGCATATATATATATATATATATATATATATATATATATATATATATATATATATATATATGCATATATATATATATATATATATATATATATGCATATATATATATATATATATATATATATGCATATATATATATATATATATATATATATATATATATATATATATATATATATATATGCATATATATATATATATATATATATATATATATATATATATATGCATATATATATATATATATATATATATATATATATATATATATATATATATATATATATATATATATATATATGCATATATATATATATATATATATATATGCATATATATATATATATATATATGCATATATATATATGCATATATATATATATATATATATATATATATATATATATATATATATATATATGCATATATATATATATATATATATATATATATATATATATATATATATATATATATATGCATATATATATATATATATATATATATATATATATATATATATATATATATATATATGCATATATATATATATATATATATATATATATATATATATATATATGCATATATATATATATATATATATATATATGCATATATATATATATATATATATATATATGCATATATATATATATATATATATATATATATATATATGCATATATATATATATATATATATATATATATGCATATATATATATATATATATATATATATATATATATATGCATATATATATATATATATATATATATATATGCATATATATATATATATATATATATATATATATGCATATATATATATATATATATATATATATATATGCATATATATATATATATATATATATATATATATATATATATATGCATATATATATATATATATATATATATATATATATATATATATATATATGCATATATATATATATATATATATATATATATATATATATATATATATATATATATATATATGCATATATATATATGCATATATATATATATATATATATATATATATATATATATATATATATATATATATGCATATATATATATATATATATATATATATATATATATATATATATATATATATATGCATATATATATATATGCATATATATATATATATATATATATATATATATATATATATATATATATATGCATATATATATATATATATATATATATATATATATATATATATATATTGTAAGGTATACTCCTAGCTCAAGGCCAGGTACCATCTGTACAGAGGAGCCCGAATTAAAATCTCCCGTGAGGCAGGAGAGGCTTAGGGACCAGGTGAAGATTGAAGTTAGGGGTCCCGTTCACTCCTCTTGAAATAAGATAACAACACTCCCTTTGAAGGTTTAACATTGCTGCTTATATCGTTCTTAGTGTCCTTCCACTGTAGTGATAGTAGCGATAGTAGTAGCCATAGTAGTAGTGGTAGCACGAGAAATAGCAGTAGTAGTGGTAGCACGAGCAATAGTAGTAGTAGTGGTAGCACGAGCAATAGTGGTAGTAGTGGTAGCACGAGCAATAGCAGTAGTAGTGGTAGCACGAACAATAGCAGTAGTGGTAGCACGAGCAATAGTAGTAGTAGTAGCACGAGCGGTAGGCACAGAAGCGTGGTAGAAATAGTCGGGAACAAGGGTAAAAATAGGATACCGATAGCTCAGTAAAAGTATTAAAAGTATGGTAAAGGTAGAGTAAAAGAATCAGTAAAAAGATCAGTAAAAGAGTAAAAGTAGAGTAAAAAGGCCAGTAAAAGTATAGTAAAAGCAGAGTAGTAAAAAAGGATCGGTAAAAGTATAGTAAAAATATAGGTAAGAAAAGTAAATGTTCAGTAAAAATAACCGTAAATAAAAGGCAAACACTTGATACATATATACACTGTTTAAAAACTTAAGAAAGATAAAATAAAAAGCAAAAAGAACTAGTACTTAAAATGAGCGTCACTGGATTTATACGTTACGTTACTTGAACTCATCTGTGTGAAATATTACGTGAAATGCCTTCGATATGCTTAACACGTCCAGCAAAAAAACCTAGGCAAGTAAACGAGAGCCAGTACAACCTTTGGTGTAGATTCGCTGCGAATGAGGGGGGGTGTGACACAAACAAAGTTCCAGTTGACACTGTTTATTCTTTGTGTTCCCGGGACCTCGAGAACTCGTGACGTCACAACATAATGAATCATTCTTCTTAATAAAAACAAATAAAATCAAATAAAATACATAATGTCATAGGAATGATACATACAACATAAAAATACCAAAATCATTAAATAAAAGCCATAAAAAACGTGAACTGCAAGAGTTTAAAGATAAATTAAAACATACTAAAATCATAAAACAGTAAAATTAAAACTCGTGAATTTGGAAAACGTACATTAATAAAATAAAATGATAAAAGAGATCATTATTACAAGATAAAATCATTAATTAAGAAAAAATGTAAAAGCTGTGAATATTCAATTGTGCAGTGTCACGTCACGAACTGAGAAATCGTAAAAAAAAATATAGGTAGCCGTAAAACACAACCTTAAAATAATACAAAATGAAATAAAATACAAATCAGACACATTAACTAAAACTTGAAACAATAAAACAAACAAATACAATTAATGGAAATAAAAGCGAAAAAAAGAAAGAAAACGGGATGCGGGGTGTACTATAAGAATCACGCGCAGGTGATACATGTATGTACAGGTGTATTATATGTGGAGTGACAACTGGAGTGCCACGCCCCCTCCAGGTGAATGGTACATTCCACAATATATATATATATATATATATATATATATATATATATATATGCATACATATATATATATATATATATATATATATATATATATATATATGCATATATATATATATATATATATATATATATATATATATATATGCATATATATATATATATATATATATATATATATATATATATATATATATACATATATATATATATATATATATATATAAATATATATATATATATATATATATATATATATATATATATATATATATATATATATATATATATGGGTGGGTGCTTCATGCTCGGGGTGATGTGAAGCGATGGTGTGGTAGCCTAGTTAGTGTTAAGTGCTTGCATGCCTTCTCGCTTACAGCTGCCACCGCTGGCTAGCCTGGTGCGAAAAGGGAGCAGCTTTGCATAAGACTCCACTGCCAGCTCATAGCCTTTCCATCATCAAGACTTCTGCAGTGCCTCCTCGTGGCCACTCATGGAAACTAAGTACCTTGAGGTCCTAGGCTGAACTGTGGAGGCTCTGGGAGCAGCAGGAGGCCCTAATGGTACGGAGTCATGGCCCACCAGCGTGTGGACACGCCCTGGCTTTGTACCAACTCCTGCCCCCGTGCCTCCTGGGGTTAATGGGCGGCTGTGGGGAGGCAGGCCTTGCCAGTCTGCCCCTCCGAGATAATCTACTGGCAACGAGACGTATAGGTGTTGGTGCTGGGGGGAGGGTTAAAGTCCCTCCCACCCAGCAAGAATGGCAGGTTGTGGGTCCCTCTGGGCTGGCGACCACTGGGACTCGGGTTGGGAGAGAGGGTTACCCATCATCCCTTCTGGGTCCCAGTGGCCGCCAACCTGGCGTGATGCTTGTGGGGGAAAGCCCCCGGGAGCCCTGCAGGCGGATTATGGGGCCTGCAGCCAGCCAACCTCTATATGGGGCGGCGTCGGTAGGGGTGGCAGAGGTGGCGCCCACCCGGAGGGCTTGGAACGTCTGTTCCCTGCAACAGGACGATCGGTTACCACTACTGTCGAGGGAATTGAAGCAGCTGAGAGTTGAGGTGGCGGTTCTCTCGGAGGTGAGAAGACCTGGCAGCGACACGATTAGTGTAGGTGGCTACACTTGCTGCTGGTCGGGCCGCAGCGATGGCCACCATCTCCAGGGAGTAGCCATAGCCATCTCCAGCAGACTTCAACCCTTGGTAGTAGAGGTCACTCCAGTCGATGAGTGTATTAAGGTATTGAGACTGAAGCTTTCATTTGGCTTCATGTCTCTTATTGCTGTGTATGCTCCTACAGATGTATATAAACTTGAGGTGAAAGAGATGTTTTACGCCAAACTTGCATCTGTGGCAGACAGCTGTCCTCGGCGAGATATTCGTATTGTTCTGGGCGACTTCAATGCGGTATCCGGCTGTGATCGAGCTGGCTACGAGATGTCTGTCGGTCCCCATGGCTCAGGAGCTGATACTTGCAGCGAGAATAGCCTCCTTTTCCGTGACTTTGCTAGGTCCCAGAAATTGAGGATCTCTGGCTCCTGGTATCAACGTTCTGACACGGGTAGTGTGGCCAAGGAGATAGACCACATCCTCGTCAGCACTCAGTGGAGGATCCTCCTTAACTGCA